AAAAAAAAAAAAAAAACAACCACTAATTGTGCAGAACAAGTTCAATTTATACTGTTCTGTTGCAATTGTCTCTGGAAAGACGTACAGTTGTTAATGACTAATGAACCGTTTGTTCAGAAGCTTCACTGTTAAACAGAAGTTTACTGACACCTAAATTTGCTGTGAATATAATCATCAAAACTGTTAAGCGAACTCCAGTTGCGACTGAACGGAATACATCCGGATATATTCTGTGCTGCAGAAGCTAAAAAAAAAAAGCAGGGAGAGGGAGCAGCCTAACAGAAGACGACAAAAGTTCTTTCCCCCACCGCATCCCCACTTGCCCACTTTCGCGGCCACCTCCCCCCTTGTTCGTCCCTCATCAATTTCCTCATGTCGCTATTATCCACACCATATTTAATGCAGGAAACATTCGTATTTTTGTAAGTCATTGTTGTTTTTGGTGAATGTTAGGCTGCATCAGCTTTTTCTGTCTCTATTTAACAGATGTGTGATTTCATTGTTTCCGTTTCTGATTAAGCATCTTATGTGCCGTATTGTTGTTTAAATTTTTTTCCTTCACGCCAACTTGGAACCCTGCTATTCTTGACGTTTCTGTTGTTGTTGTTGTTGCTGTTGTTGCTTTTGCTGCTGTTACTGTTGTTTTCACACAAATTCACAACGGTTTCTATACTTGAAAAAAAAGTTTTTTTCAGTGAAAATGGGTTCATCGAAACGACAAAATACTGTGGCCGATTCATCCAGAAGGCCCGGCTGTCCAGTACCGTTACCAGGAGGTTGTTTGAGAGGTTTGAAAAAAAGAGAACAGTTTTTTTCCTTGATTCCTTGTTTATAAAATCAACTTTCGCAATTCTGAAATCAATTTTAGTTTTTATTTTTTGATTTTTTTTCTTGTACGGTAAACGTAGTAATAGCGTTTAGTGAGCTTCTATTTTGTTTATTTACTAAACTCTGAAAAATTAGGAAGGATTTTCGGGGGTTCTCTTGACCCTTGTTTAATCAGTAACATTTGACTCAGCTGTCTACAAAGGGCCATATAAATTTAATGGACAATTATCTGACCCAGTGAAGTGTTCTTTTTTCTCTAGTTTGTTAAGATTACTGAATAAGTTGGAAAGAAAGATTTAATAATGATGATTGAGCATATAATCTGTTCACTTAGATAGATGTCTGCATAAACGGATTGTTTTTTTAAGAGCGTTTCTTTGCTTTTTTAATTGGCACTCAGAAAGTTAAAACTTTGGAACAAATCTGTGAACGATGGATTTTTGTTTGATAAGTCGGTTCCAGCTGGTCGGAACAGTGAAAATTCAATTTGTAAACAATTAGTCTTTTTTTTTAATAATTTTATTCCTAACTATCGTTTGGTTTTTATTTAGAAATAGAGTATGAAATTTTGTTGGTAGTTGAGTGAAAGAAAAGAACTACCAGATTGTCCCACATTTCGTTTTTTTGTCAGAACTGTAGCACATTTTAAGGTCTGTAGAATAATGCTTTCAACGTGGCTTTGGTTTTCTTCAGCGTCAGACCCTGTTGCTATTGTTTCAGGACAATAGTCTCTTCTTTAGAGTTGCATTATGTATTTCTTTTTAGGATTTCCGCTTCCAGAGTCCTTTGAAGATGGTGTTAAAATGAAGTGTAGTAATGCGACTTGTAAACATCAGGATCAACTGATACATGCAGAATGTTTTCACGCTTTAGAAGATAATCTTATCAAAATTATGAGTAACATTGGTACGTACATTGTTACTATCTTTCACCTAATTTCTTTTCTGAAAAATATCACTTTTCTTGTAAAAACTTCCGCGCATCTGCTTCCAATTCAGATTTTCATTGCATCTAATGGTGGTTGGTTTAAGTTTGTTTTTTCTGAGGCACAGGTATTAGTTTTTGGTTCTGAGTGACTTTGTAATGTAAGCAGGTGGTCATGTACGTGTAGTTCCACATAATGTTACTTAATCTCATGACATAAACAGGTGGTTTACATGCTAGGTTGGACCACCATCCGATTCCACTACTAGAGCCTCCCAAAAGGCGTTTTGAGCTTTTAGCCATTTTTTATCTCAATGCCGTTGTAATGTAAAGCTAAGAAAGCGTTTGTTTTTCAAAGATATCATTCTGTTCCTGAAATCTTGTTCCACGATTTTTCTTTGTCTGTGAAATGCAGTGTGAAATCACTTTATCAGGCTACAAAGCAGCCATTTCGGGAGGACCAGTAAACTGTTTAATGTTACAGATGACACCTTTTGCTTGGTCGATTTACCGTTTCTTATTTAAGAAATTTGTGTTGAACTTCGCGAGTTTATTAACATATTTGGGACTTGAGTTTGATTAAGGGTCAGCTCGAGGCTGGACGGAAACACAACGTCGGTCCAATTTATGGGATAAGAAAGGTCTAACACTGATTCAGAAAAAGTGCCGTTGTCCTTGTGGTTTAGGACTGATGTCTTTGGATGAAAATGCGATGTTTCTTGGTAATACTTTCAAATAGTGTTAGAGAAAATTTTACTTTTGTTAAATAGAATAGTTTTACTTCAGATTTTATTTCCTTACACTGTTCATATAAATCGACCCTTCATCAAAGTTTGGTTTGAAGTGGGCATCCATTTATGGAATTACTTTAATGTTTTTTCCCGTGAATGAAAAAGGTTGCAGCGCGGCAAAATGCAACTAGCACCACAGGGACACATACGAAGGCGAAAAAAGGGAAGAATAAAAATCTTCCAAAGTTGAATTTTGGTAGCGGCTCTGCTGCAGGTTCATCCAGTGGGAAGCACATAAGTCGTCGGGAGAAGTGAGCGAGAATTTTCCTGGTTACATAGTTTTAGTTTATTTTTATTTTTCTAGTACGCCTGCGATACTTTTTAGGTTGGTAAATTTACAGCTGGAATTTTGATCGTGTGGTGTGATGCACTGTTACGGCATGAGTTAACACCTCATTTATAACAATTGCTGGATGAAACTTGGCTTACAGGGCTTATCACTCCTCCTACTGAAAAAAACTTTGTTTATGATTCAAGAAACTACTTGGGTGCAGAATTGATGTTTCCCATGCTGTAATATTTTTTCTGAGTCATGAAGACTTTCGATATTTTGGAACAGTGTAGTTAATCGAAAAAGTTTCTGATCAGAAAGGAGGAGAAGTAACTTGTACATCTGACTGCCTAGTTTCTCTCCGGTAAAAAGTAATGTATGCAACCACATGTTGTTATTCAATTAGTCTGTCAACTAGCTTTGAGTATGGCAAGGAAACGGTTACTGCTTTTAAAATTCGTGACATTATCGTTGTTTTTACTTTTTTAACACCACAATTTTTACCAAAATCAAGAGGAGCCGGTGAAGATGGTTATGTGGTTTCAGAGAATTTTTTAAACTATCGGAAAGATTCTTTTTAATGACACAATTAATTTACTCAAGAAGTTTTGGAATTTGTACATCCCTTCTCGTGATGAGTACTTTGATAGCCGAAATATCCGTTTAATCAGACTGTATTTCTGGTCAAAGCAGTAATATTTGGATATTGAATACATTAACGTGCTAATGCAGGGAAACGTGTCCTCGTTCAATAAAAGATCAAAGTTCTGAAAATTGGCGAAAATTTTTTGGTGCTCAGTAAATAGAAAAAGAAATTTTTTTTCACTGATAGTATGGGCCTTTTAATTAAGAACGTGCTCTGTAGCACATTTTTCGACCATAATTTGTTGAAAAGGTCTCAAATATAGTAAAATTTATTTTGCTGAAGATTCGGGGGAGGGCGGGGGAGGGAGG